GGGGGGGGAGGGAGAGAGAGAAACATTGATGTGAGAGAGACACATTGATTGGTTGCCGACCGGGGCAGGGGGATCGAGCCTGCAACCAAGGTACATGCCCTTGGCTGGAATTGAACCCGGGACCATTCAGTCCGAGGGCTGATGCTCTAACCACTAAGCCAAACTGGCAAGGGCACCAACACAATATTAATGGAGAAGTACAAAGTCAGGAAACTGACACTATCTGACTGACTCGAAGACTTACCGTAAAGTTACAGTAATCAAGTCAGTGTCAGTGGGTACTGGCAGAATAGTAGACCAATAGATCAATAGAGTAGAATAGACAGCCCCAAAAAGAGACCCACACAAATACAGTCAACTGATCTTTGACAAAGAAACAGAGGCAATACAGCAGAGAAAAGTCTGTTCAACAAATGGTGCTGAACAACTGGATACCCATGAGCTAAAAAAATAAAAAAAGGAAGCTAGACACAGGCCTTACACCTTTTAAAATATTAACCAAAAACGGACCACAGACCTAAATGTAAAACACAAAACTGTAAATGTCTATAAGGTAACAGGAGAAAATCTAGATTACTGTTGGTTTGGCAATGACTTTTTTGATACAACACCAAAAGCACAAATCGTAAAAGAAATAATAGATAAGCTGGACTTCATTAGAGTTAAAAACTTCTTCTCTGAAAGACGTTGTCGAGAGAATGAGAAGACAAGCCACAGAATGGGAGAAAATACTTGCAAAAGACATATCTGATAAAGTACTGTTATCCAAAATATACAAAGAACTCAAAACAACAATAAGCCTGATTAACAAACGGGCCAAAGACCTGAACAGACACCTCACCAAAGAAGATATACGGATGGGAAATAAGCATATGAGAAGATGCTCCACATATGTTATCAGGGAAATACAAATTAAAACAAGATACCACTACACACTTACTAGAATGATCAAAATCCAGAACACAGATAACACTAAATGCTGGCATAGATATGGAGCAACAGGAACTCTCTCTCATTCATTGCTGATGGGAATGCAAAATGGTACAGACATTTTGGGAAACACTTGGCAGTTTCCTACAAAACAACACACCCATACTATAAGATCCAGCAATCACACTCCTTGGTATTTTACCTAAATGAGTTGAAATCTTAAATCCACACAAAAACTTGCACACAAATGTTTACAGCAGCTTCATTTAAAATTGCCAAAGCTTGGAAGCAACCAAGATGTCCTTCAGTAGGTGAATAGATAAGTAAAGTAGAGTATATCCAGACAATGGGATATTCAGCACTAAAACGAAATGATCTATCAAGCTATAAAAATACATAGAGAAACCTTAAATGCATATTACTAAGTAAAGAAGCCAATCTGAAAAGGCTACATACTGTATGATTCCAACTATATGACATTATGGAAAAGGCAAACTATGGAGGCAGTAAAAAATCAGTGGTTGTCAGGTATTAAGGGGAGGGAGGGATGAAAGGTGGAGCACAGAGGCTTTTTAGAGCAGTAAAATTATTCTGTATGATACTATAATGGTGTTACATGGCATTATACATTTGTCAAAATCATGGAATATATAACACCAAGAGTGAACTCTATGTAAACTATGGGCTTTGAGTGATAATGATTTGTCAATATTGGTTCATCAATTGTAACAAATATGTGGGGTGGGATGTTAGTGGGGAAGGCTATGTGTGTGTAGGGGAAGGAGTTATATGGGAACTCTGCTCAATTTTGTTGTGCATCTAAAATACAGTCTATTTAGCAGGCAAAAAAATTTTAACACGTATTTTAATTAATTGTAGGTTTATATTGACCTTCCTAGTTATGGCCTTAATTTTTATTTAAAAGAATATTGACCAATATTGACACATTATGAGACTATTACTTAAAGATATTTCCCATGAATAACTTTGATATAAAATCATAGAACCCAGATGAATGGGGGAGCATTCTTTTTACAAAAGAATTTGTTACAAGAGTCCAGTTTCATAAGCAAACCTTTCTACTTAGTATTGTTATGTGTTGTCATATCTACATGTTAGGTAGAAAAAACAGCTGAACCAGAACTGAGCAGTTCTGTTTAACTGTAAGCTACTTTGCATATTGTTACTAAGTGATCCCCTATAAATCAGGTAAAGTTTGACTGAGTCCAAAATACAGCATCTTGGTGACAAAACTCAGGTAAGAGACCCCCAGAGTGGCCCGTGGGGGAGAATAGGAACATGATTTATTGGAAAATCCCTAGGCCCTGTTGATAGGTGATGAGTTTTGTCAGCTATCTGATTATTCCGTTATCTTAAACTATCAATTATGCCTGCATGTTAAAAGATTCAGATTCTGCTGGTGATTCACTCATCTGGAGTAGTGGGAAGGGTTTTGGTTTGGAAGTCTGGAGACCTGGGTCCCGAACCCCTGCTCTACAACTAGATCTGCAACCTTAGCCAAGTTACAACCTATGACGGATTGGATGAGAGAATTTCTAAGGTTCCTTCCATCTCTAACATTCCATAATTCAATTACATGTGGAGCTGTAGCTTTGTTTTTTACGTGCTAGATATTTTTAATGTCCCTGCAAGTTGAAGCTTTTATGCTCAGCAGAGCATCAAAAATCTATTTGGGATTTTATCATTAAGATCTCACCTATTTCCCAGAAGAGCTCTAGCACAGAAACCTGAGACTTTTCCAAGATGGGTGAATTTGTTAGCTGTGCATGTACCTGGAACTGCCGACCCCCAGCACTAATAGTCTGTGTTGCTCTCTTTTAGAAACTTAGTACTCAGTTTCTACAAACGTGTCCAACTTCCACTAGACTCCTACCTTGGTCATCTTCATTACTGCGTTTTTCATTCTACCGCTCTGTTGTGTTATGGTTACATTTGGAATAACAGATGATCATACTTAAATGTTCAGTGAACTTTTTGGTATGTGTGCTGCCCAAGCAAGCACTGGTGAGTGAACTTTTTGGAAATGCTCAGTAGGAAAAGCTGCTCCTCAGTGTGTCTCCAGAGACACCACACTCTTTCCCCAAGCGTAATGCAAGGTCTTGTCATAGTCTAGAAACTTTTAATTACCTGTGGCGTATACAAATTACTCAGATTTCATCTGAGTCAGGGTTTAAGATGATTTTAAAATCTGTCAGAATAAAACCATACCCAGAGAGTTTTTGTATGTAATTGGCCTTGATGACATCGGGCACCCTGCTGTGTCCCTTCTGGCTCTGCTGTTCTCAGGAATGTAGGAGTGCGGGTGCCATTCCCGTTGTGCCATCACTTCGTAGCTTCTGCCACACGTGTTATTTACCCTCCAGCATCTCTGCCTCGGGAATTTCCTGTTTTCTCTCAGCATTTTTTTCTTTTTGACACAATTTTGGCTAGTTTTTTTATCTTCCAGAGATTTTTGTTTTATGTTAGTTATTTCAGGCCATTTGGGCAGTAATTTTGGAATCTTTCACTTCCTGTTTCTTTGCTTTGATTTTTTCCTTGGACTTATCACACTTATCT